GCAGCATGTGGAATTTGAAGGGGATTTCTATCCTGGGGGAGAGAATAATTAGCGGGAGTTAATTATTGGGGGGTGGGCGGAGACCCGCAGCCCATGCCAGGACCGCCCCCCAAGGTGGGCCCTCACCTGTGCAAGTCGCCCTCCTTGGCTTCCAAGAAGTTCACGGTGTATTTGACGGATTTGGCCATTAAAATCCGGATGTCAAAAGTGTCCTGGGATAGAAAAGGGGGGTGGGCTCGGGTTTGGGACCCTCCTGGCTCGACTGAAGCCCCCCCAGAACAACCCCTGGATCCCCAGAAGGACCTCTGGACCCTCAGAACAGGCACTGGACCCCCAGAACGGGCCCTGGACCCCCGGAACGGGCACTGGACCCCCAGAACGGGCCCTGGACCCCCAGAACTGCCCTTGGACCCCCAGAACGGGCCCTGGACCCCCGGAACGGGCACTGGACCCCCAGAACGGGCCCTGGACCCCCAGAACTGCCCTTGGACCCCCAGAATGGGCACTGGACCCCCGGAAATGCCCCTGGAACTCCAGAATGACCCCAGGACCCCCAGAACGACCCCAGGATCCCCAGAACTGCCCCTGGAGCCCCAGAAATGCCCTGGACCCCCAGAACCACCCTGGACCCCCAGAACTGCCCCTGGACCCCTGGAACGGGCCCAGGACCCCCAGAACCGCCCCTGGACCCCCAAAACAGCCCCGAGCCCCGGGCCCTCACCACCACCGGCTGCCTGAAGTACTCGTCCACGGCGGCGCCACGCAGCGCCGAGAGATCGACGCCGTGGAAGGAGGGCTGGTACCTGTGGGATGGAGGGAATGGGAAACTGGGAATGGGGATGGGAAATGGGGAATGGGATTGGGAAACAGGGAATGGGAAACTGGGAATGGGAAATGGGAATGGGATTGGGAAACTGGGAATGGGGATGGGAAATGGGGATGGGAAATGGGGATGGGAAATGGGGAATGGGATTGGGAAACAGGGAATGGGATTGGGAAACAGGGAATGGGAAACTGGGAATGGGAAATGGGAATGGGGATGGGAAACTGGGAATGGGAAACTGGGAATGGGAAATGGGAATGGGATTGGGAAACAGGGAATGGGGATGGGAAACTGGGAATGGGGATGGGAAAACTGGGAATGGGAAACTGGGAATGGGATTGGGAAACAGGGAATGGGAAATGGGGAATGGGATTGGGAAACTGGGAATGGGAAATGGGAACTGGGAACAGGGAATGGGAACGGGAAATGGGAATGGAACAGGGAATGGGGATTGGGAATGGGCACAGGGACTGGGACTGGG